GCAGCATGAACCAATCAGTGCTCCATTTGCTGATGATATTCCAGTGTATGGATATACTATGTTTATTTACCCATTCATCAGTTGATATCTGAGCTGTTTCCAATTTTTTGTTATTATGAATAATGCTGCTATGAATATTTGTATACAGGTTTTTGTGTGGATACATGTTTTTATTTCTTGGGTATATGCCTGCAAGTGGAATTACTTAGTCATTGCTGTTTTTTTCTTAATAGTATAAATAATGTTGCAATGAATATCTGCAAAAAAGACAAGGGGAAGATTTCATGTTAAAGGAAAAACATAAGGGCCCAGCAAAGGTTTTTTGGGTCTTGACCTCCTTGAACAATCCAGTCAGTATCTGTAAAATGGGTTATTGTAAATATTGGAGATTAGATATAGTGGAAGGTCCCTGCTACACAGTATATTCTCAATAAATGAGAGTTACTGATCTATATCCTCCTAACTTTGGAGTGAAAATCCTCATGGGCTCAGCTTCTTCATCTCTCCATACCATCGATATTACCAGATTTCCCTGGTTGTTCATTTTTATGGCCTTGTCTTTTATTCTGTCAGTCCTGGTATAAGCTTTCAGTAACGGCCGGAGTGATCCCACCTATGGAAACTCAGTGGGCTCTGTCTGCAGTAAGCCTGACTCTTACATCCTTCAGGTCGTCAGGATCAGGAACTCAGGACTGGTATGCAGACCCAGTGCGAAGATGATGGCTTGTGTGAAATGGTGGTTCATGGACCAAATCCAACCTGCAGGCAGCAATTGTTTGGTTTGCACAGTAAACAAATAAAAGGTTGAAGCAATATATATAAAGGCCAGGAGATTTCACACAATACTGTACTTCAGATTGCTTTAAAAAATTAGAAAATGTGCCGATTTTGGTCCTTTGTCTTTGCGCAATGTACACTGATTGTCCTAACCCAGCACCTTCATTGGGGGGTTCCAGAGCGACAGTAGAGGGAGGTGAACTGCAGGTCTGGGGAGGCCCAGCAAAGATACCTTTTTTATTTACAATTTCTGGTGTCACCATGGCACTCCCCTCCTCTCCCACCTCTACTTCACTGTCATTTATCCCTGCTAAACCCCTGGTATGTTTTGTGATTTTACACCAGTCCAGACTTTTTCCCCTTCGTTGTTGAGCATTGTGTTACGTTGTGGAAAATTTCCAAGTGTTGTTCTCCATGCTTGTAAAGATGGCGGTATCTAGTTTCTGACGCCTGCTTTCTTTCCTTTATAAAATACTATCATTAGCTCCTTGTTTCACTGCACAGGTCACTTCACTTTCCTTTCAAGTGTCTGCAGTTGAAACAGAAGTTTGCTTAGTTTTTAAGAAACTTGTAGAACTAAGCAGCGTATCTGCCAGACTGGGGTGCTTCCTTGATTCAAATTCCAGCTCACTTAGAACCACTGGACCCATCATGTCTGCTGTCAGATCGCCTGTTTCTTCATCAGCCACAGAAAGCTCATTGCTCAATCTTTACTTGCACTTGGTACGTTTAGTTAAACCTTTTCATTCTCTCTAAGCAATTTTTGGTACCATATTCTGACCTTTTTAATCTTGCAACAATCCTCTCTCTTCTCATATCCCTTTGATCTGAAGGGAGTGTTTTTGTCTTGCATGACCAGTTTCTGCTCTCATTGCTTCCATTCAGTTTCATCTGTTCTTTGATTTGGCTGTTTCTGCCCCAATGTCTTCACCTTGATTTTATACATCTGTGTTCTTCCTTAAATGCTTCTGTGGCAGTATCCATTTTATTTTTGAAAGCCTTTGGCTATATTCCTTTGGAAAGCTCTCTTTATGTTATTAAAATGAAAGTTTAATTATTTGGAAATCTTTAAAGGGGAGCACGACTTCAGTTCTTCACTTCTTTACCCAATTCCCTATGTTTTAAGAGATTAATTTCAACCTCTGTCATTGCATTAGTAGAAGTGGTAGAATTCTCTCCCTAGACATTTGATGACCTAGCATATCTGCTTGTGATTCTCTCAGTCTTACTACATTCAAATGGCTGGCATTGGCACCTAAATAAATATCCTTCTCTCTAATCTAATAATATGTAAACTTGAATAATTGGTGAACTCTAAAAAATATTCTTCTGGATCCATACTGTTGACCCAACTTGTATTATCTATAACAAATTGGCATTTTAATATAGGTACGGTTTTGCCTAATTTGCATAATTTCTTGACTTTGCAAAGAAGTTTATGATGACTCAATTCTTTTACATTTTTTTCTTTTCAAACTATTCTGAAACTTTTGTTCATGAGGAACACTTATATGTCAAGTCTTCCTTTTTTCTTTTCTCACAGGTCTCTGATTATTATAGCGGTGGCATGACTGACCACGGAGGTGGAAAACACCAGGACACACCTGGGCCTCAGGTCTGTGGCACACTTGCCTGTAAGGTGGACATAGAGATCATTCAAGCTATGCTTTTGCAATTATTTAGATTGACTTGGAAAGTGCTTGTTGAAAACGTTCACTTCTCTGCTACTACGTCTTACAGGCTGAAAGTAAAAATTTCAGTGAGAGGTCACCAATTATCTGCTTTCTTTGTTCCTTTCCCAGGATGCACTTGACATCTCCAGTCATGTGCCTTTTGCTGACACCAAGGAGACATCCATGACTTTTATTTGTTTAGCTTTCATCTTCCTTTTGAGGGTTTGTATCTATAAACTGTATCTTTTCTCCCAAGCCGATTCACTCCCATGATCTTTCAAACTTCCATAATGCCTCTCTTGAACAAAACTCTGAGAATTGGAACTTCAATGGCTCTTCCTGTGTTGAGGAAACGCTTAGTCCCAAACCAGTCCTTCCACATGCAGGTTGCTTCTTCATTTTCAGCTCTATTTCTTAAGTCAAAATTACTTCCAGATTCTCTCTTTTTGGAGATTTCTAAGCTTCAGCTCCAGCCTGTGTTCTCACAGGGTAATGGAGACAGCTTTAGATTTGGCATTAAGGGATTTCCAGAGAAATTCCTCCACTGAATGAGCTATAAAACCTTGGGAATCTCTTAACTTCTCTAAAGCTGCTTTTTCTGGTCTATAAAATGGGATAAAGGTAGTTACCATCTCTCACGATTCTTGTAATGATATCATGAAATACTACATGTAAAATCATTTTCAAAATTCTATCTGTATTACATATTTTTAGTTGAGGCTCTGCTTGCCCTAATTATATGTGTGTTTTGCTTTCAGCCCTTCAAAATTTCCTCTGAAAATCCTCTGCTTTTTCTTTTGGCTCATTTTTCTTGGCTCGGGTTCTCTGTCATGTCGCTCTTTCTAATTAATTAATTATTAATCACTCATCCATTCTATCATATTTGGATGAAAATGTTGACATCCTGACGGTTGATGTCAGACTTGTTGGAGGCAGGGAGACTATTTTGGGGCAAGATGACTCCCTGAGGACATGTTTTCCAGGAACCAAGACAACCCGAGAAGTACTAATTGCTGATTTGGAACTGAACAGAAATTAGGAGGGAGAGAGAAGAAAAGTAAGGAAAGGGCGAGTGGGAGAGGGGAAAGCGTCAGCAAGTGGGTGAGGAATCAGTACTGCCAGAGGTGTGGCAAGCAGTGACACAATCCCAGGTGGGGGGCGATAGGGTGCAGCGGAAGAAGGACCTACTTATGAACTCAAAGGTACCTAGTAATCTATTGCAAGCAGTCTGGCTACTATGATGCGAACTCTACTAGGTCTTTGGTAAAGCATATCACCTACTGGAGAAGGCTTTGGGGAAATTGCAGAATGGGGCTGGATTCCCAGATCAGATCAGGGTGGTGGGACACAGGGACAGCACTAATGAGCAAATCTGTTGGAAATCTGAGGTGACCATGACAGCGTAAGCCCCCAGGAGATTCACAGACACCACGGGAGGGCTGTCAACAGCCACTAGGGGGAAGGATGGCGGTTTGAGCTGATCTTACTTTAGAAGGGGGTGGTGACTCCAGCTGACGTCCAGACATTTATTCTAAAACATAATATGTGCTAAATTCCAGCCATATCCTCCTTGGACTGGGGTTCCATCTAAAAGAAGCCTCTCCCACAGGAGAAACCTGATATAAGTTTGTTGAATAAATCAATTTTAGTTTTCCTGTCATTCATTTATCTTATTCTGTTCCTCTCACCCCATTTTTTCCACAGAGTGACTTCAGAACTAGCTATTTTTAAGTGTTCTTTATGTTCTTTTCCATGGGCTGATATTTTCCCTAGTGTTTTCTTCCTGGACGTCTTTACTCCCACTGACCACATTTACTCTTCTCTTTCTTCCAACTTGAAAGCCATCTTCATTTTCTACCTCCCCCCAAACCCCTGCCCCAGAGGCTCCACCTCTCACTGCCTTCCCAAATTTCACAGCAGTCACCTCTGTGGGTGTTACTGGCTCAGCTGTGTATGGGAGAGGGTGGAAGAACTGGAGCAGGTTTAGCTATGGTAACACCTTCCCTCCATTCCCACCTCCAACGGAAAACCAACATCTGTACCCCCACCACAGTGTGCTGTAGCATCTTGACGCCCTCAGTCCCAGAGCATGCCCTCTAGAGGCCCTGAGCAAATCTCCCATTGAGATTCCACCTTTCATCTTTGACTGCTTTGCAGAGGAGAATATGTTTCTAATAAATCTATTTTTTTCATTTTCCTTCACCAATCCTTCAAAACAAACTATACATCTATGTGGGAAACTGGAAATGACATTTCACCTTGTGTGAAAACTTGAGCATCTAAAGACAAACCCAACGAGGCACATCACTCCTCATGTCTGGGCAGAATATTGGCCTTTCCAAAGGTCACCATACTCTTTTCTAAACTTTGCCTTCAAGAATTCACTGTGGGTGGAACAACACAGGGTCAGCACCAAGGAGAATAGAACTTAGCCAGGGGACTGGAATGGAACAGTCATTTCCAATTTGGGATTCTCCACTTATTCAACAGCATTACATACATAAACATTAATGAGATCGGAACGGGACCGAGGCCCAAGAAGGCACTGGGTTTACCATTTTGGATGCTTTATTATCTAAAGTCAAAAGAGAAGATACAAAAGCTGTTTTATTTACCAAGCAAGTGTACGAGGCCTATGGAAAGTTTTGGTCCGTTTGCTAAGCTGTCAGATGTTCAAGGCAGTTGGCCAGACGGCTGCGTTTTACATCCCAGCTTAACATTTTCGAGGCTGCTGAATAATGTAGATCCTTTTCAGTGGAGTGACCTTCTCTAAAGCAGGTCTGGGTTTCTGATGTGCCATTTGCACTATTGCTGGAAATTTATGGCTGAGCTAAAGGTGAAAAAGAAAGAAAAAATGAGCATATTGGATCTTTTTGGTCATGTATTAAAGCAGTAGAAAGCAATATAGTTGGTCAGGGAAATATCAGAGTTTTGTTTTCTTTGATATTACCTCTTGTTTCCATGCTACTTCCACCTCTGGACTCATGGGTGTATATGTTAAATGGGTTTTCCCTCATTAGCTTGTATCTATATTTTAAAATTATAAAATATATATGATATCATGTAATGTATACATTTTGAAGTAATGCTTTTAAATGTAGAAATGGGCAATTATATCTGCATCAGTCCTCTAGTACTAGCAACTATTCTGGTGCTGGCATGCACATTGGATAACTACATTCTAAGACGACTATGGGGACATTGGAAAAGGAGTGGAGAGAAACCACTCAGGTGTCAAAAGATCAGAAATAAAGAATCTTTGAAAGATGTTAGGAAGAGTTTGAGTTATTAGGTTGAAACATGTGAAATTGATATTTTTTAAGGTAAAAAATGGTCTGATGTTGGCCATTTCATAGGGTTCAATCTAACCAGCCTGGTAAAGGGAAGCCTGAGGAATGACTTACTGGCATTGGGTAATAACATTTTCATTAGTCATCTCCACAGAAGACATCTGTGAAGAAATGGGTTTAATTCGATTTAAAGTAACACAGAGGGAGGGTTTTTACAATAGGAGGAATTGGAAGCAAGAGGCTTTATGGAATTTACATTAAGGACAGCTTAAGATGGAAAGGATGCCCAGTGCCATGAGCAGTTCAGGGGGAGTTTTCCTACAAGGAGAATTTGGACCTGGTAACCTTTTGGGTCCATTCCAATTCTTTGTTTCAAAGCCCACTGATACAGTATAAAGATACCTAAGATGGTCTGCCTCAGTCAGCAAGGAGGGATGCCTTGGCTTATTAGGAATTTAACTTATCATTATTGAGCTTAGATGCCCTGGCCTTGACACTCAAATTAAATAAAAGGGGAGATAAACTGTTCATGACCCCAAGCATCACATTGTTTACAGTTTGTTTGGGTTACACTAAGAGAGGGAGAACATCTGTGCCTTACATCTCTTCTCAAATGTCCCTGAACTCTAGGCGTACAACACTCCCTTTCATGTGAAACTTGACTCCAGAAAGTCCTTTCTTCTTGGTCTTAAAATATTAAACACTCTGGAAGAATATGCATTAAAGTGTTAACAATGGTTATCTCTGAGGGATTAGGAGCCATTCCTAGTCTTTTCTTTTGCTTTGCCTATCAGTATTTTTCTAAAGATTTTCTTTTGTGATAAGCAGGTACAAGTAAAATAATAATTAAATGCAAGGATGGTCTCTGCTGGTTTTCTAGCAGCAAGGAAGAAGTAAAATTGAGGCACTGGTTATAAATGTTGCTTTAGAATCTAAAGAATACCTGGTGACTTTTTTTGTCAGATCGATTATCACTGGGCCACACGACATGCATTTTAAAGTGTGGTAAGGACAGAATGTTTTGTCTTGTTTTTAACATTAGAACCAGGAGGAAACTTAAGAAGTCACTGACTTCAGTAGTTTCTTTCAGACTGGGTGTCTTTAGTGTCAACTGAAACAGATGGGTTACTTCAGGTTAGTTCTAAATCATATTCAAGAGATTATAGATAGGACTAACAACTTGGCAAGTTACTTAGAGTAAAATGTAAGGTAAAGTGGGGTGAGAAAGGAAACAAACAAGTAATTCTGATATACAGAAATCTGGGCAATTAGCCAAGGTGAGATGGGGCAGCATCACAAGCTGAGGCTGAGAAGAGAAAGCCACAGTACTGACTGTTGTCCTTAAGGTGTAAGGGCAAAGATGGGTGGAGGTTGGAAAGGAAAGGAGAAAGGAGAACAGTGCTTTAGAACACACTTATTGCTTATATGGCACTATCTCATTATTTGATCATTTCTGGGGTTATCTGTACACTTGAGAGACAATATTTTTTGGAACATTAAAAAAATTGTGATAAAATGCACGCAACGGTCACCATTTTCAACCATTTTAAGTGTACAGTTTAGCAGCATTAAATACATTTACACTGTTGTGTAACTGGGATAAATTGTAGAATTTCCAGGATCTCCCACCTAGCCTCAGTTTATTTACCTATCAGTAGGTGTTTACCACTCCAGAGCCTCCCATGGACCTGGGGCAAGCCGTGGAGCAATAACAAACACTCTTTTCTCCCCTCTGTTCCTGGAGCGTAACTGGTCTGGCACCTGCCAGTCATCAAGGACCCACCAATGGAGTTCTTCCCAGAAGGGGAGGGCGGGAAGTGGAGAGCGCCCCATAGCTGTAGAGTGGTGTGCAGTGGCGGCTGGAGGAGACAGGCTGGGCCAGGCCTAGCTAGTGAATTTGAGAAGCTGTGAGCAATAAAAAATGGTTCCTTCCCACCTACCCTTTCCCTTGAATTATTCCGTTTTCACCAATTTCGTAGAGGATTTTTTCTCGGGCTGGGCACAGCCTTCCCCCACATCCCCGGAGCTACAGTAACCAATCCTACCATCCGTCTCCAGAACTTCATCAGCCAAATTAAAACTCTGTACCCTCATTCCCTCCTCCTCCAGCCTTTGGAACCACCATTCTACATTCTGTGTCTATGAATTTTGACTACTCCTGGCATCTCATCAAGTGAAATTATGCAATATGTGTCCTTTTGTGTCTGGCTTATTTCATTTAGCATAATGTTTTCAAGATTTATCCATGTGTCAGATATTTCAGTATGTGTCAGAATTTCCTTCCTTTTTAAGGCTGAATAATGTTCCATTGTGTGTATATACTGCATTTTGTTTATCTGTTCATATGCTGATGGATAATTATGTTGCTCCCACCTTTTGACTATTGTTAATAGTTATGCTGCTATGAACACTGGTATACAAATATCTGTTCAAGTCTCTGCTTTCAATTTTTTGGGGGTATATACCCACAAGTGGAATTGCTGGATCATACAGCAATTCTATGTTTAATTTTTTGAGGAACTGCCATATTGTTTTCCCTAGTGGCTGCACCATTTTACATTCCTACCATTAATGCACAAAGGGTTAGAAGTCACATTAAACTAAGACATTTAACTGAGGTTCTAAAAGCTCTGCTCACCTGCTTCTTTCTAAGAGAGGAACGCCACAGACCAGAATAAATGAGAGTCTGCCCCTGAGGCCTGTTGGCCACCTGTTAACTGGTCTTGGAAAGTTTGGGAGAAAAAAGGACCAACAGGATTGAGACGGAAGTGGAAATAACTCTGGGAAAGATAATAATAGCCTTAGAGAAACTCCCCATAATTAAATTATAAATACACATGTGTTGGGGGGTGGTGAAAGCAGGGTTTTATAGCAACTCTTGAAAATACAACATGAGTGTCAAGTTCTCTTTCTCATATACCCCACCCACTTAATCAGGAACATCCTAATGTAGAAGAACTTGGACTTGTGAGTGGAGAGTCTATACAGAGTCTTTAATCAGAATTGATGAAACTGTAAATAAAATAATTAACCCCTAAATTCCCTAATCCTTCATTACAGATTCTCTGTCAATGGAGATAGGAAGATTTATCTTTAAGTCTGAACTAAAAATAAGTAGGTATAGCTTTCCAGAGTACAATCTACCACTAGTTGTGCTTAGTCTGGCATTTTAACTTTGGGAAAGCTTTGATTTTTTTATCCTAAGTCTTTGTAAGGTGATAAGGTTTGTAGAATGAAAGCTGTTTCTTGTTTGACTGATGAGGGTAAGAGAATCTGGGGTAACCCCACAAGAGAAAGAATTCAAGGCCAGTATTGTGTAAGGATTCTGCCTTGCTGTGGCTGCATCACATAAGGGTCAACAGATTGAACTTGAAGAGCTGATCAGTAGTAACTCCCACACTGAGAATTTACCTTTATCTTGGGTAACTGTGACCTCAGAACCTATATTTTTAGTTTCACAGAAAAAGCAAAAAAAGTATGATAAAGGTCTTTCTGATTGGAGCTGTGAAAGAAATTCTAGATGTAAGAAAATCATGGCAGGTTTTGTTTTCGAGCCTGAAGTTAGGTAGTATTAGCAGACTGGCAGCTCTTCCATTCAGCATTCGAGGGTGTAAACTTCCAACTGGAATGTTGGGTGCTTAGGTTTCTACACACCGTTAAGCAGGGTGCTTATAACAAAACATTACGCTTGAGTCAATGAAATTCAAGGATACTCCTACGGTGATGTTAATCTACTGAACAAGAGAAACCTTTTTAGTTTTGCAGAGTCCCGTGATCGTTTCCTCTCCCCCAGGATCCCATTTCACATGCATCTCACCAACTTTGGTGGTGGTGACGCATCTGGCAACTTGAAAAGTGGCCCAAACTTTAACTAATGTTTTAACTGGATACTTTTTTGTTCAGAGAAGCTTCACAACTCCTGCCAAATTTAACTTCCAGACCTGCCCAGAGAATTAATACACTGGGCAGTATCACTCTCACTCCCTGCCTTAAAAAAAATTTAGTAAATGAGCAACCATAAATCTCAGAGGAGCCACGTGACTAAAGAAAGTCAAAAACCTCTAAGGAGTAGGTGGAACTTGGTCTAAGACCAGGTCTCCCAGATTTTTAGCCTAGAGAGCTCTCAGGGTTACATAACCCCTTTTCTGTGGGAATACCATGGCGTGGGGCCTTGCTAGCGAGCAACAGGAATTGTCTCATTATTTAGGGCTGAAAGAAGTGGGAAGTGCAGATTGGAGAGGAAAGGAGGAAGGCAGAAGGGCAATGGGGAGAGAGGTCTGTGGGCAGGGAGGGGCGAGGAAAACAGTGGGAAGGGGCATTTCAGGCTGCTTTCCACTTAGATTTGATAACTCTGACCTTTTGGGGTTTGTTTTTCAATCTCCCAAATCTTAAACCCCAGGTCGGTTATACAGTAGAGTATTCAAAGATGAATAGCATATGGACAGAAATTTCCTGCCATGGCTGGATGATTGATGAGATCCTATGAGTAGGGCTGTACTCTCACTTTCTTAGACTCTTAAGTTTTTATACCGGTATGAGAATTAACATGGGTTCTGGGAACTAGATGTAATTCTGTCTGAGGGCCAGAATGAATGATGAATGTTAGTAAATGCAGAGGATATGGCCCTCATTTCTGCTACTGCATTTCTTCTGGCAAGTTGTATAATGTTAGGTCTTCATAGTGACAGATATTGTGGGGAGAATTATTGTAATGCAGGGGAAAATTCATCAACAGATAGCTCTGTATCTTTTCTTTTACTTTTTTTTCTATGAGGCTGTGTAGTTTCTACATTTTTTTCATTTTTAAAAATAAAGGTATAATATACCTATAGTAAAATACACCCTTTTTAGTGTACAGTTCTGTGGGTTTTCACAAGTGCTAAAGTCTGTGAAAACCACCACAACCAAGATCACAGAGCCCCTCCATCACCCCCTGAAATGCCCTCCTGTCACTTTGCAGTCAACTGCTCCTCCCACCCCAGCTCCTGACAACCACCGATCGCAGCAGATCTAGTTTTTAAAAAGACATTGATCTTCCCACCTCAGGTTGACCCTTATTATGAAATCTGCTTATGCTTCAGGTTGAACTATGGAGGCAGGGGGGATTTTTCTTAGCTGTAAGGAAACGCGTGGATCCCACCAACTTCCATATATGAGATGGCCGAGTATGGTAATGTTGGGCCTTGATTTCCTTGCTATCCTCTTATCTTTTGCCTGGGATTTCAAGTGATGCCCTGGAGGATATTTGCCTGGGAACAGAAGCTGATACCTACTGAGGGCTAAGTATGTTGGCTCTGTGATAAGTACATTGCCCATGTTATGCAACTTCATTTTATTCTGCAACATCTCCGTGAAGTGGATATTACTAATTGAGGTCCCATTTACAGATGAGGAAACAGAGGCACAGAAAAGTGAAGCAACGTGCCAAAGGTATACAGCTGGTGAGGGATAGAGTCAGCGTAAGACCCAAGCATCTGATGTCTAATGCCAGAACCTGCTTAACCAGCAATCTATGCCAGCCTAACCACAGTCCCATTCCAGTACACATGGAACACATTAATAAAACATGGAAAAAAATAAAAATGTTTTTATTTCATAGGCGTAGTAAACAGCATACCATCTCAATGGTTTCTTATGGTTTCTGAAAACAACTTATTGTTTTTGTTATTTGATTCTTTTTTTATCTTTGGAATAAAGAAGTGATATTTTTAACTGACAGGCAAAGAACTCCCTCTATGTCATAGGCATTTGCACATATGTCTATAAAAAACAAAAAAATAGACTCTAATCATACTTAATGTATAGCATCATCAACCCTATTGCTCACGCTCTTTAAACATTTTATTTGGGGCTAACGTATGTTATAGAGGAATGTGTCTATTCCATCCAGATCCACTGAACAACTGTGGGCATTCTCTCGCCCCCAGGGAAGAGGCATTTGATGGGCAGGAGCAAAAACAATGTGAGATGCAGAGGTGGGCAGCTTGTGTTGCCCTGGCAGGGCAGCACCCACCCTGCCCTCTAAAGCCAGGAAGGCAAAGAGTCACTTATGATCTCACCTCAAATCTACCACATCAGAAGGCTCTGCAGGAATAGCCTGTAACAGACATCTTGTCTCATGCTCTCTGCCAGGTAACATGCCATGGACTTCAGACATATTTTTCCAGTTCCCTGCCACAAACCCAATGCTACTAGCCAGAAGAGAGTGTGCCAACAGGCTATGGTACCCGGTGCCGCTCTCAGAGCTTCACGTGTGTAACTCATTTATTCCACACAACAAAACCCCCATTTTAAATCCGATGCATCTGAGGCACAAGTAACTTGCTCAGGGTCCTCCAGATAGTCAGCAGAGGAGCCAGTGCCAAACGCAGGCCCCTGGGGTCTAGCCACATAGTTTCTGCTGGAGTCTTCTGGAATCAGACCCCTGATTTTGGCAGTAACAGCAAGTCTTCCTTCTATAAAGGATGCCCAGTCCTGTCCCTTCAATAATGCAGGAGTAGCAGAAAGAGTGGATGCAATCTATCTGCCCTCAGACATAGAATAAAAGCCCTCACTCAGCTTACCTACAACATTTAAAAATGAATTACTTGAATCCCAAACCAAACCATTTTCTATCTAGCAACAGTTTTCTGAGTTTGTTGAGCTGCTTAGAAGAAATTCAAGACATAAAAAAAAAATGAATGGCCAACCACCTTTCTGAGCAGACGTTACTGGATAAACCCAGCCAGTGCCCAGCCTCCCTCCAGCCCTAAACTGGGCAACCATACACCACCCGTCTACACCTACAATCAAATATTTCTTTATGGGAATGAAGTGATAGGGAGGAAGGTCCAAAATTGCTGGATTTCCAATACACAGTCTGCCTTTTTATTTATTTATTTATTTGTTCAAATTCCTGACTTTATAGGAACCTTTATCTCATTTTATCACTAAGAATGACAGTTTTTCAGAACATCATTTTTTTCCCTTATATTCCTTCCCTCTAAGACATTATTTCTCAAAGTGGATTTTTCAGAAGTCTTTTTCAGCAGCATGTCAAGGACCTATTGTGATAAAAATTGTCCCATGGCAAAAGCAGTTGGGAAAGCTGTTCATACAAAGTTCAACTGTTTTCCTCCTGCGATGTTTATACATAAACTTTTTTTTTCTCTTTTTTTTTTTGAGAGAGCATCTCTCATATTACAGTCTGCCTTTTTATAAAAACTTATCAATTGTTTCCGAGAAATAGTTGGGATGGCCAACTAAAACCCTGCCATGATTCTTGCTTTATTTCCTATCTTATTTTTGAAATGATTTATTAAATAGACACTTGGAAGTGGGGAGAAACAGCTTTTCTCACCAACACCTCTTTGTGTTTCTCAGACTGAGAGCACATTCTTTCACAAGGACATCAACCCTCTGAGGTGGAAAAAACCTTTGTGGTCATAACTCGGTCACCCGTGAAGCCGGATCTGTTGGGTAAAAACTGAGTGTGGGCACCATGTAATACGCCTTCCCAGGCCTCACCTTCTCCAGGGTGTCATTCAGGGCCTCCATCGTCTGTATTTTGGCAACATTTGCAATGGAACTGCAAAGAAGAGAAAGTTCATAAGGACCTGAAAACTTTCCCACTAAAGAGGCTCAATGATTTATACAGAAGGCTATCTACTTGGTCTCTAAGCATTCACTCTGCTTGGCAATATCTAGCAGACATAAAATTCTGTCTCTGTGTACCCACGTGCTACGACAGGCTTTGTGGGCCAAGTAAGTATTACTATTATATCTTAACTTTTCATCGAAGTGTAGTGTACATGCTGCAGGAACATGCACATATTACCAGCATATAGCTTGGTCAATATTCATAAATTTAAAACACTAGTCAAACCAGCTGCCCCAAAGGATCACCACTACTCTGGTTAGTCATTTACCCCAGAGATTAGTTTTGACTGTTTCTGTGCTTCGTAAAAACGAATCCTACAGCATGGACTCTTTTGTGTCTGGCTTCTTTGTCTCAGGCCAAGTTTATTTCGTAGGAGAGTTTCAGTCAGAGCCGAGCCTGCAGTACAGTTCTTTGAAGGAAGCTCTGTACGTGGCATATGTATTTTTTTCTGGATGGTTTGTGTTAAAAGAAGTTTTTAGGAAATGGACATAGATTGATGATGCTTCCAAATTTATTTTCTATGCCCTATTTTTCAAAAGCTATTCTCCAAGAAGATGTAAGGAGAGATGTTTGTTCATGAATACGAGGTGCTCATATCCCACACATACACTCCCCTAGCAGATGTAAACAGCAGAGCGAATCTATGGTGGAGCTAATGATGCTTCCCCTTCAGGCGTATCCCTGCACAGCCTCCTTCCAAGGTCCTGCAAAGGGCCCTACACACCTCATATTTGTAACTTTTTATTATTTTCCTTTAAAATGGCCCTTAAATTTTATATGCGTAGGGCCCTAAATACCTGTATCTATTCCTGGTAAACAAGGCAAGTGAGAGAGCTATTTATTGCTGTTTAAATTCTGTAGTTGTCTAATTGTCATCTTTTAATGACTATTAGAAAACAATTGAGATTTTTTTAAGAGGGTTCCAATCTCCTCTTTATTACTCTCTAGGGGACTCTTCATGTATTTCCAGCTGATGTTAGAATACATAGTAAGTCCTCATTTTCTGAGGTTTGGAGACATGAACGATTTGTCCACTAGCTGCTAACTAAAAGTTATTTCCGAGCCATGACTTAATTCCTGAGCCACTCACCCAGGCCTGTTAATCAGTGTCATAATGAACTGGGCTTACTCTTGAGTTAGACTGTAGTAACAGCATCGGCTTTCAAAATTAACCAGCTTGCAATTCAATGAGTCTGGTGTCATTTACAAAGTGCTTTCTCTGTTCTAGGGACTGTGTTCCATGCTAGGTCAGAAGAGAAATAATATGTGACTCCCCCCAACCCCACCCCATATTTTTAAGGTCTTAAGAGCTTGCCTTTAATTACGTGATGGGTATTTTCTAATATCGGAGGAAACAAAAACTTACTGCTTAAGGGATAAATGAGTATTTCATTTTAAACTTATAAGAACAGATACTACACTTGATCTTAGCCAAAAGGCTGAGAAGCGATGAGTATTTCATTTTAAAGTAGAAACAATCCTCAATAAATTTTCTTCCCAGAAGTCAGAAGAAAACTTTAAAATTGATCTAGAAATAATCTGTGAAAGAGCCAGAGAAATTCCATAGTCTATTTCCCTCCTCATTCTCTTTTCTGAGACTGTTACTATTTTACCTCTTAACGTGTACCTTGAGCATCCTCTAATGGACCCCTTTTGAATCATCATCAATTCATCTATGGAAAATATCTTAGAATTAACAGTCTCTGAGGAGCCCCTCACTATGCTACTTGGAGAAGCCAGTTGCATAAGGATGGCAGAGAATAGTTGGACCGGCTGTGCACCAGACCCAGCCGGCAGCTCTTTGCTGAGCTCTGGGAATAGCTCAGGATGTCAAGGTTACGGCAGAAGGAGCAGGGAGAAACCAGCCTCAGCATCTATGTGCCTTCTGGCTGTGCCAAATATAGTGGCCATTATTTTCTAAATAATTGAGTGATGAATGTAAAATGAACCAAAAAAGATATATTTTTAATTCAGGAGATTTGCTTCAGCAGAAAGTATATTGTGAGGAGAATAAGGTCAGCCTAGGAACAGTATTTTAAGGGCTAATGGGAAATTAGGACCAAGGGTGGTGAATTGGATTTGGACGCATTGAGGCTCGTGCTTTGGAAGCATGGGGCCTCTGGGCAGGCTGCAGAGAAGAGGAGGGTAGATGGGTGGGGGAAGTGTCCTCCAGCCAACAGCCACCTTTAACCTGAGGGTGCCTTTCACCTTCAGCCAGCCTCCCCACCTCCCCACCGCCTCACCTCCCTGGTCGCCAGAGGTCATGACCCCCTCCATCAGGTGGCTGGCTCTAACCCTGGTTAGCAAATGCCTAGGGAGCCTTGGTCTGTCCTAAAATACAGGGAGGTCTCTGACTTCCGGGAGAAGAGTCAAGCAAAACTCCTCGAGGTGAAGAAGAAGAAATGAAGCAATTCCTACCTTGTTTTCTCTAGTCCTGTTTTTTTGGTATGTCTCTCCAAGATACCAATGTCTTGTTTCTTGGAAATTCTCATTCCTCCAGCTTTTACTATAAACAAATAAGCATCACAAAGGAGTCATGGTTAGAAGAACAAAGAGAAGGCTTGCTTTGTTATTCAAGGTATGAATTTAGATTTGACAATAATTTTAGAACTTGCTTTTTAAAGAGCTAAACTTTTATCTAAAACAACGCAATAAAAAGCTACCCTGAAACTGGGCAACAGAGGCAAAAACCATTGTCTCTTGCAAATAAGGTAGGGAGTGGGAGAAGGGCTGAGCTCTGCTCGTCTGTGTTGGGAGAGGAGGAACTGAGGCCAAAAAAAGAGCAGGAGTTCACCCCTTCCTTCTGGGGAGGAGAATAACAGCATGCTGCTCCCTTGGGCATTTCGCTGGAAAACATTTTTTCTTGTTCAAACCAATTACATTCTTTCTGATAGCAACCAATGTGACCTCCTGTTTCCCCACACGATTTAAGTTTCTGCAAGGCTTGCATTTTTTTTTTTCACCAACCAAAGCTTTCAAAAGTCAGATTCCGAGAGACGAGCCCAAGTCAGGGCATGCACAGTGACAGGCATTTCACTCAAGAGAAATGCTTCTGAGCCCACCGGATACCCACCTTCCATCCCAGACCCCAAAGTTCTGATGTTGGTCAAGCTCAGATATTCTAATGAGTAATTAAACTGCATTAATAATCTTGCCATTCAAGAGTGCAGTTAGTGTTATTTAGGCTACACATGACCTAACAGCAAGTCGAGTGTTTAACAATGTCAGATGACATCAACTTTCTAATAGGACCAACCCATTTCAGACTGCAAGTCAAAGCAAATACTTTTTTCTGTTCCCAGGAAATTTGCACATCTAAAAATCTGACAAGCTCCAATGAAGAAAAGCTAAATAGACATTGATTTGTTTGAGCCTGTTAATTCTTTTTATGGAAATGCCAACTTGGCAATTTTCTAAAACCAGTTCCAATAAAGTGAAAAAAAAAGGAAAACCAATTCAGTTTCTCAATGCCTTTGTGAATTGACTTTATCATTGTTCTTTTAAATTTATTTTTTTGATTGTACATGCATAAAGCACACAATTAAAAAAGTGAGAGAAAGTTTAGTTTCCCTCCTGCCATTATTTCCAATCCCTAGTTTGTCTCCCTTGATACTGCTAATGTTACAAGTTTCCTATGTATTCATTCACAGATACTCTATACATAGATCTACATATTCTGTTTTTTAATGGCAGCATAAGATACACATTATTCTGCTTCTTGTTGGTTTATATTTTTCATTCAGTCATATATTTCAGAGTTCCATATATATATATACATATGTGTGTGTGGATGTATGTGTTTCTTTTTAACATCTGCTGTAACATTTCATTATATTCACCCTCTATTTACCAATTCCCAAGTGTTGGACATTTCAGCTGTTTCTGATCCACTGCTGTCATAAACAACACTGCAAGTATCTTTTTATATACATAATTTTGTACAAGTGCTAGTATATCCATGGGATAAATTCCTAGAAGTGATCCTTGTTCTTAAGAGTATGTGCATTTGTAATTTGTAAAATCTTGCCAAATTGCCCTTTACGGGTTGTACTTTACAATCTCACCACCTATCATGACAATGATGGTTTCCCTGTACCTCTGGCAACAATACAAGCTAGAAAATGTTTGGTTTTGTCAATCAATAGGTAAAAATAAAGGCACCTCTTTTTAGTTTGCCTTTCTTATGTTATATTAATGGTCAAGCTTGTTTCTGTGTTTTTGAAACCATTTGTATTTTCTTTTTATGAACTGTTCAATGTTTTGGTCAGTTTTTTCTATTGGACTTTTATTTTATTCCATTCCTCTGTTTATACACCATTACAACTCTATTTTAATGACTGTATCTGATAGTCAGTACTCCTTTGTACATGTCCTTTGCAGATTTTTACTAGCTATTCTTACTTATTTTTCCATAGGAACTTTAGATTCAGTTTGTCAATTCCCTCCAAAAAAAATTTTTTTTAATAGTCATGCTTTAAGTTTATAGATACTTTAAAAAGGGAAAATTCATATCTTTACATGCTTAGTGGCTCTCTAGTCAAGAATATGGTATGCTTTCCCATTCTTTATATCTTCTTTTGGGTCCCTCGGTAATTTGCTCACATAAATCTTATACACGTATTATTAGGTTTATTCCTCAGGCATTTTATTTTTATTGTTGCTGTTGTCATTATAAATGGGGTCTATTCTTCCATTATAACTCTAACAGGTTGTTGTTCTTATATTAATATTATTGATTTTACAGCAAGATCTTATTGAATTATTGATTATAATACTTTTTGATGATTCTCTTAGATTCTCCAGGTAAAAAAATTAGTTATATAACCTGCAAAGAATTATATTACTTCTTCTAGAATAATGTTAAATAGAGGTAGTGGTGGATATCCTTGTCATTCTAATTTTTAAGGGATTGCTTTTAGTTACTCCCCATTAAGTATGATGTGTACTTAGGTGGATACATATGTATACACATATACACACAAATATTTATGTATATTTATTGTGTATATTTACTATAATGTTAAAAGAACTATCCTTCTATTACTGTTTCATGGGCTTAAAAATTTACCAATACATTACAGTTGTAGTTTATCAAATGCCTTTTTGCATTCATGGATATAGTTGGTTTTTCTCCTTTACATGGTTAATGATATTAATAGATGTTAATACATACAGATATATTAATGAATATCTTACTACCAAACCATTCTTTCAGTCATTGAATAAACTCCATTTGGTCATTCTGAATCACCACATTCTTTTTCTTATCGCTACTAAAAGCCTTTCACTAGGATTTGATAATATTAGATGCAGTCTAGAAAAAAATATGCTATTTCCATACAGGATCTGCTTTAAATTCACATACACCGCCCCCCACACATGCACACACACACACAAGCACACACACACACAAGCACAGGCATACAAAGTGATCAGCAACAGGACAGGAATAATATGGAGACACGTGAAGAGCCTTGAAATCCAGAGGTGAAATGAACCAAGAAATGGAATTTTGGGGAAGACGAGGAGGTTGCACCTAGGTGCAAGGAGTGGTGGTGTGTGCAGCACCCTACCCCCAGGAATCAAAGAGGTCTAGTGCTTGGACTTCAGTGCCCCTCCCTACAAAATGGTTTTCATTTTCCTTATGACAAGTGCTTTTTAAATATGGAGTGGTATAATTATTTTCTTATTAATATTCCTTTTGTTTTCCTTGATGCTATTGTTTCTACACATTTTCTTCCACTCACACTGATGATTACCACCAACGAGAGAAGCAAACTTGTTACAGTTACAATAGCAATAGCTAAAAACAAAAAGGCCTTTAGAATGTTGAATTCTGTGCCAGTCATATGAAAGGACATCGACAATCCGGGGAATGTCCAGAGGAGACTGACCGCGGGAGAAGGGAGCTGTATCACATGAACTGGGGAGCCTGGGAAGATCACTTCTGAGGAAGCCTAGACTCAAGGCAGCAGAGGTGCTACCTTCGAAGATCTGAGGCTCTGGTATGTGGGAGGGGGAATGGTTTCCTGGTGAGGAATGTAACGTAGGGTCAGCTAGCTCTACCCTCCCTGAGTTCTGTGACCCTGAGTAAGACACTGTAACCCCTCTGAGAGCCAGCTTCTGCACCCTTCAATAATACTGGTGGTTCAGGTTGCTCTGGAGAAGAGAGGTGACCTAAGTAGCTGGTACCTGGTAGGCATGCAATAATTAAGTTATTATTGTTTATACTTATTTTATGCTGTTCCAGAGGAGAATGAAGGCCAGAGGATGGTAGTTCCAGAAGGGCAGAGTCTGGCTACATAAAACAGTTTGTGTTATTCAAAGTAAAGTAGATTGCCTAGAACGCTAGTTTGTCCTTTGTCCCTCCAGCTGTTAAAGAAAAGAAGTGTAGCTTGAAAACCTGAAAAGGATTTTGGGATATTTGTAGAAGCTGAATAAGATTATCTTTATTACGAAGCCTTTGCTGTGATTCTAACTTGTTCCACTGACCTCCACAAGGAAGTCTATTACTTGCCTCCCTCTGGAAAGAATATAGGGCACTTAACAGAAAAACAAATGCCAAAGGAAATTTGAAGAGAATGTATGCATTCTTCATTTTTAAGAATGAAACAGAGACAGTAGAGGGAAATTAAAAATCCTCCCAGATCACTTCCATCTAGGAGTGTTTGAATCCTCTGTTATAGGGCTGTTGGCTCTAACTCAGTGATTTAGGAGCTTAAGTAAACCACACCTTGGATTTTCAGAGCACAGGTCTTATACCAAACATGTTCTGATAGGTAATCTCACTTAGTCAGCCACGTACAGTAGAAAGAAGCAGAAGATAATACCCCAGTGCTATTGATGGGCACAATGAGATACATATTAAGGCTCTCACTACATTGGGGTGACTGAACCAGATGGAACCAGTTTGTGGGAGGGGCACTTTCAAAGCTCTGCTGGGAATGCTGGTACACTGGTCTTCTGGGATCTAGACAAATCATTGTAAATAAATACTTACAACCCAACAAAGTCAGGCCCTCGCCCATTCCCATGTACCAGATTGGTCTGACTCATGAAAACTCTGAAGTCTCACTGCATCTAAATTAGTTCATTTACATTTATAATAATTTACATAATTCCATGTTTGGGACTATGTCACCTTCTGAAGTTCTGTACAAGGACCAATTGGAATTGGGCAGGGTAAACTACGAGTTGATTTAATGTTTTAATAGGGCTTTGAGTACAAATACATGAGACTTTAGGTCGTTTCAATAAGCAAAATGACATAGAGATTAAAAAGCATAAAACAAAGAGATGTTCTTTTGGATCATTTCATTAGAAAACCTAAATTTATGGGGGCAAATGAAACTTTGCTCTCCTATCTGAGTAAGAGTTATACTCTTGTGGCCGCCTTTGTAGTTTATATCTTTTCAAAAATAGATCCTTGAATTTAGAATGTTGTATAATAATTTTCCAGTTAAGATTTTCCAGACATTTTGCCCAGATTTGGTGGGGGCAGGGGGGTAGTCCAGATAAAGAAAAATAAGCCTTTTTCCTTTACTAATCAGTGACCAAGTTAAACGATACAAAGTTTTGTGCCCGCTCTGACTTGTGATTCTGAACTTACATTTGAAGATTTAATGAAAAGGTCAGATGTTTGCAAAACACTTACTTTATTTTCACAGTCGACTGTTCAGGAAAGTTTCGGCTGCCAGTCAAGACCAGGGAGGAAAATCAGAAAGAGGTTGTGAGGCAGAGAGAGAGGGTTTGCAAACAGGAGAGCTTTGGCACGGGGCCAGCTTTACTTCCAAATCTCAGCGCCATTGTCCATGAGCTGTATGACCCTGCCGGAGTCTCCCAGCCCTGCTGACCTTTAGCCTGCTCCTCTGTGAACAAAGCTGGTGGTGCATCCTGGGTCGGCAGGGCTACAACCATGCCCAGAAGGCGTTATGCAGTGCCAGCTCAGGGTCCGTGCTGAGCCAACAGCAGCCGTACTGCAGCCGTCAACCCTCTGCGCTGGTGACGTCTGAGGCAGTGCGGCCTCACAGGTCAGCCCCCAGGAGCTGACTTGAGCAGGCTGGAGTTGAAAGGATTAAGCCTTTGGTGTTTGTTTTTCATGATGCTGGCCCGTATGCAGCCGTGGTTTTCCCCCATTTTCCAAATTAGTTTCACACTTGGGGGTACACCTCCAATTTCCCAATCTCTTTTAACAAACGAGCCAGAAAACTGATTCTCTCCTGAGGTTCCATGGTGACCCCTTCTGATGGCTCTGATTCACTTGGTATAAACCAAATTTAAAAGTGCAAGGAATATAGAGAAATTCATGAATTCCTGCTCTTTCTAGTACCTCACAGATTTGGCATCCTCTGACCACATTCAACTCATGCGTTTTGGCTGTTCCTGTAATGGGGTTGTTATAAAATTGAGAGCGCGGCAAATCAAAAGAGCAGAAAATCTCAAGCTAAACCTGCCAGAGCCCAGGCCACCTTGTGTATAATGTAGTCCTGTTTCACAGCATAAATTTATAACCAGGGCTAACAGAGGTACAATATATTATATTAATATACGTGGAAGAAAAGTGGCTGTGCACTGCACACGTGGGTGGGAAAGAGTTGCAGCCAGCTGCCTTCTGAGTGGTTTCATTTGTGACCAGGATGGGGCCGGCATCTCTCCCACTGCAGCCGTCCTCTGTTCTCACGACTGCACTAGTTAGCGCCTAATGCAGCCTCAAACATCAGGACATCTTGCAAGGGCAGAGGATAATTTCTTCTGACAGCTCTGTTTTACTGGGCCTGCATTTTAAGGGGATTAACAGTCATGTGCTGGTACTTTACAGAGTTTATCTCCGTTAATCAGTATAACAACCTTAAAATATCTATATTTATTAACCCCCCCATTTTATTAATGAGAAAACTGAGCTCAGAGATGTGGAATGAAAGCAGGATTTAAGCCTAGTCTGTGTCTGATTCCAAAGGCCATGTCAGGCCCTTGCCATATAATATCTGCTTCTCATTTTCAGGGATCTGTACTTTGCTTATAAAGATCAAGGGAAGATTTAATGGAAGTTTGGCATGAATTAGTTTTGTTCCATAATAAAATTTTGCACCATAGCAAACTGGTTCACATTTAAAATACATAGCAAGACAAACTAGAGGGTGAGCTTCTTTGTTCCCTTGCTCTCAGTGGGGAAGTAAAAGGCTGCCTTCCTCTCCATTCTAATTATCCCAAACCTCCTATCTGAAGTGTCACAGTTCATAATAATTAATTGTCATGCCAGAGGCATTGTGACATACTTGATGGAGTCATGGTGTGCTATATACACAGAGTAATTAGCAATCATTAGTGGTGGGGACAGAAAGTTCCTGGTGGTTTGATTCAAACTTTCATTTGGTTAAGTTTATCTCTGTGTCCTTTGTGCATAAATGTAATTTAGCAATCAGTTTTCAGCTTAACTGCTTTATGAAGGATTGGGGTGGCAGTGGCGGGAATAGAAGGGTGTCCTCTTTGGTCTTTATGTAATGAACTTCTAAAGTTTGCATGTCTGATTAGTTAGTATCATTAACTTTAAATTGCTAAACCCAATCACAAATATAAAATGTTAGGAATCTGCCACAGGAGACCAGGGCATGGTGCCTAGAACTGGCAACTCAGAATTAGCAGTACAAACTCTCTTTTCAGCTGGACTGCCCACCAGAAAGCCACCAAACCTCTGTGCCAGTCTTGGTGCTTTGAGAAGGTTATAACTATCTGCTGTCATCCTCTGTGGCAAAAATGATTGAAATAACCTTGGCTGACAGGTGATGAAGAATTACACCAATAAATGAATTTTGTAAATGGAGAAAGGCAAGAACAAAGTGGTCAAGATTTTGAAATCTTTCTCAAGGAAGAAAGAAGGAAGGCAGTTGGATGAACCATAAAACCGGCTAAAAATAGGCCTGTGTGCCTCAGCCAGTCTACAGGAATATACGGTTAAGTACAATACAACCAATTTCCATATTCCAGAGAGCTGACATAAATAGCATATGTTTGAAAAAAGAGAGACTTGTCAATGCTTTGCAGCACACCTTCACAGCTTAGCTCTCTTTCCTAGCACACCTCCTCCAGGGCTTGGGTCCTTATTAAAAAGTGCTCTTCAGCTTGTTGACAGACTAACTACATCATCGATAACACTGTGCAACCCCAAAGCTGGAGGAGAGAGAGAGAAATATGGTTGCCGTCCTCCTTGTGGAAGCTGCTTTGCCTGGGTACGAAGTTGGGTGATGTACGGGCATCCTGGGGAGACTGGCCCTCGAGGGAGGAAGGCTTCCATGGCAGTACACCACCTTGCAGGTGTGTGTGCAACCCAGAGGGGTAAGGTCCAACCTCTTAACCTATCCCTTTCCACAAGAACTGAATCCCTTATGGCCGCATATATAATTAGGTTTTAATTCAGCTGGGGCCTGACAAATCCCCAGGTGGTTTTATATACAAGCCTTATAGGATCAAAGACGTAGGAGGGAGGTGGGTGGCATGAAGTTAAAGTAACCATGTCGGCGCTGAGAACCTGTGCTCTGCTGGGTCTCTGTTGAAGGCACCGGTGGGAGGAGGGGAAGCAGCAGGGAGGTCCTTGCTCTCTGCAGACAGAGGGCAGCTGGCAGCCTACCTGCAGGAGGATGGCCCCCTTTCCGCGGGGAGAGCAGGACTTGCACTTCATTTGCCATAGCGCGGGCCTGTCGGTGCGGTGCTCTGGAGGCTGGGTGCCAGCTGCTGCTGCCCCACTGCTCCCTGCTTTATATGGGCTGGGGGCGGGGCCCCTTAAGGGCATTGCTGAGCAGCAACAGGCTTGTCACCCAGTTCTCTGGGAACCTACATCTTCTTGGCAAGTTTTCTCCCAGAAGAAAACTTAGTTTTATTCCCTTTATTTGAGGGGGCAGGGAAGATGGCTTTCATAGGAAGAAGGTGAGAGGATGAAGTTCAGGGGATTTTTTTTTCCTCCAGCTATTCATCAGTCAGGTATGTATGGTGCACCCACAGTGTGACAGGCCCTTTATCATGTGCTGGCAAGACAAGATCTTTGCTTCAGGACATCTGCAGACTTTCTGAAGATACAATTATAAAACAAAACACTGTGCTTTTGCCTCAGTCTTTGCAATTGTAAACTTTCATACAAAGAAAATAACTGGGGATGTACACATAGATTTCTGCACAAGGATAGTAATATATATCTTTTCCTTTATTTTTTAATATTGATTAGCATAACATAAGCATCCTTAGAGAGGGATAATTAAGATATGAAATGTGTGCATAGTACTGTCATAACTATGTCATGTTTTCAAATAATATTTAATGATGTGAAAACTGTTCATGATAAGACAGTGAAAAAGTAAGTTAGAAACCAGAAGTTGCTGATTTTGTTAGAAAGAAAAAGTACAAATTAAAGCCTAGGCATTATTGTATCTCAAATGATGATCAAGGTCATACATATGGCAGGTACTTAGAAATATCTTTGTTCTTCTGTAGAAAAACCACTCTTCAAAAAACATTGTTAGGGAAATGAAGACCAGCCACAATCTGTGGGAAAATATTTGTAGAACACATTCCTAAGTACTGGCATCTAGAATATAAAGAAAGAACCCAGTAATAAGAAAACAAACAACCCAATTTAAAAATGGGGAAAATTCAAACAAAACTTTTGTATCAAAGAGAGTCTAGCAAAAACTTCACAAAGTAGAAATATTGACAACAAATAAGCACATAAAAATATTCTCAACTTTGTTAATCATTAGCAAAGTACAAATTAAGCCACCATATGTAGTAGAACAGCTCAACAACAATGAAAAGCACAACAACAAAAAGGAAAATACAACATGCTGGTGAAAATACAGAGCAACTGGAACTCTCGTACATGGCTGCGTGGGAATGCAAACTGGTAAAGCTACTTTGGAAGTCAGTTTAGCAGTTTCTTATAAAATTGTACAATTTCTTGGGGGCAACACACTACCTGGCCCCAAACTATACTACAAAGCTACAGAAATCAAAACAGTATAGTACTGGCACAAGAACAGATACATAGATAAATGGAACAAAATATAGATCAACAGCCAGGAGAACAAAATATAGATCAACAGCCAGAATTAAACTCACACTTATATGGCCAATTAATATATGACAAAGGAGAAAAATATACAATGGGGAAAATATATTTTCTTCAATAAATGGTATTGGGAAAACTGGACAGCTACAAGAAGAAGAATGAAACTGGATCTCTTATACCACACACAAAAATAAACTCAACATGGATTAAAGACCTAAACATAAGACATGAAACTGTTAAACTTCTGCAAGAAACATAGGCTAGGGTGATGACAAAATTCCAGAATGAGACGGTAGTACGGGTTGTGCAACTCTGCAGTCTTATTAAAACAGCTGCCACGTACACTTTTTTTTCATTTTCTTAACTTTCAATTTTGAAATAATTTCAGGTATACAGAAAGATTGACTCCAAAAGGATCAGTAATTCCAATATTCCTTCACCCATATCCCTTCTCCATCTTCCTTCCTCCCACCTCTCTTTCTTTGAATGTAATTTTTAAAAATCATTTGAAAGTAGGAGAATGTACACTTAAAAAAAAAAAGGAAGCATAGTTGAAGAAACATATGCATCCTGAACATCAGCATTAGTAATTTTTTTCTGGGTAATCTTCCAGGCAAGGGAAACAAAAGCAAAACAAACAAGTGGGACTACAAACTAAAAAGCTTCTGCACAGCAAAGGAAACCATCAACAAAACAAAAAGGCAACCTACTGTCTGGGAGAATATATTTGCAAATGATGTATATATCTGATAAGGGACTAATAACCAAACTATTATATCCAACTCAACACCAAAAAAAACAAAAATCCTAACAGAAAATAATTCTATTAAAAAATGGGTAGAGGAACTCAATAGACATTTTTCCAAAGAAGACATAGAGATGGTCAATAGACACATGAAAAGATACTTAATATCACTAATTATCAGAGAAATTTAAATCAAAACTACAATGAGGTATCACCTCACACCAGTCAGAATGGCTAATATCAACAAGACAAGAAATAAGTTTTTGGAGACGATGTGGAGAAAAGGGAACCCTTGTGCACTGCTGGTGGGATTGTAAATTGGTGCAGCCACTATGGAAAACGGTATGGAGGTTCTTCAAAAAACTAAAAATAGAAATACTTATGACCTGGCAATTCTACTTCTGGGAACTTACCAGAAGAAAACAAAATCACTAATCTGAAAAGATATATACACACATATGGTTATTACAGCATTATTTACATAGCCAAAATATGGAAACAACCTAAATGTCCATCAATAGATGAATGGATGAAAAAGATGTGGTACATATATATAATGTAATATTACCCATGAAAAATAATGACTCTCGCCATTTGCAATAATATGGATGGACCTAGAGGGTATTATAGTGAATGAAATAAGTTAGCCAGAGGAAGAAAAATATTATATGATTTCACTTATATGAAATATAATATTCCACTTATATGTAGAATCTAAAAAACAAAATGAAAGGGAAAAAACAAAACTGAAATAGATGCAAACACAGAGAACAGACTGATGGTTGCCACAGGGGAGGGGTAATGGGTGAAATAGGTAAAAGGGAAAAATTAGTGAGGATGTGTGGTATCTTGATCTGAGTAATAGTTACATGAGTGTATACACATGTCAAAATTCATCAAGCTGTACACTAAGAATTGTGCATTTTATTATACATACCTCAATATAAAAATTTAAGAATGTATTAAAAACAAATTATAAAATTTCTTGCAAAATTAAACATATACTTACTACATGATGAACAATCTAGTTCCCAGGAATTTTCCCAAGAGAAATGAAAACATATATATATATGTGTGTGTGTGTGTGTGTGTGTGTGTGTGTATATATAAAGATCCATGTGAAAATGTTTCTAATAGCTCTATTCAAAAGTTAGAAGCAACTCAAAAGTCTATCCAATGTAGAATCAATAAACAGACTGTGGTATGTCCATACAATAAAATACTACTCAACAATAAAAAGTAATGAACAGTTATGTGTAACAACATGGATGAGTCTCAAAAGCATTATGGTAAATGAAAGAAGCAACACTAAAAAAGCCATTTACTATACAACTCCAATTATATGACATTTTTGAAAAGTCAAAACTATAGGAACAGATATCAGATCAGTGATTGCCAGAGGAGGGGGAGAGGGGTAGGATCACAGAGGAGCAGGAGGAGACTTTTGAGGCTGTTAGAAATGTTCTATATCTTGAGAGTGGTGGCAGTTATATTCCTCATGCATCATACACACATCATATGAAAATGAATTTTACTGTATGCAAATTACACCTTAGTAAACAACAAAAATATCTATTTGTTAACTAAATGAATGACAATACCCCAGAATGTTTAAAGTGGTTGTCTATAGGTGGGAGTATTATTTGTTGATTTTTATTATCTTCTCTGTTTTTCTGTATTACTTTTTAAGTCAATAAAAGTCAATGAAAGCTTTTTTTGATGAAAGTATGTTCAGGTGTTGTGTTGGAGGTAGATACATGCTATGGGAACAAAGAGAAGGGATCACCCTTATCATCCAGTAAGTGTTTTGTGAGTGGTGTTCCCCACAGAGCCTCGACTAGGAGCTGGGGTTTGGAGGTGACCAAACGCTATCCCTGCTGTTGGAGAATTTCACAGTCTCATGAGGGATGTAGATGCTGAGTTGAGAAGGCTAACAGGAGTCCTCCTACGATTGGCAAGATTCATAGCAGCACTCTTCAATAGATATTTCTGTGATGAAGGAAATGTTCTGATTCTCCTCTGACCAGTATTGTAGTTACAAACCACATGGGCTTTGAGCACTTGAAATGTGGCTGGTACAAGTGGGAAATTTCTAATTTTTAAAAATTAAATAATTTACATGGATAGATCTAGAGGTATTATGCTCAGTGAAATAAGCCACGTGGAGAAAGACAAATATCAAATGATTTCACTTATTTGTGGAGTATAAAAACAAAGCAAAACAGAAGAACAAAGTTGCAGTAGGCTCATAGACACAGAGAAGGGACTAGTGGTTACCAAGGGGGAGAGGCTGATAAGGGTGGAGGGGGAGGGAGAAGGGAATTAAGGAGCACACTAATTCACAGTCACAATACAGGTTGGTCATGGGGATGGTAGTACAGCATGCAGAATACAGTTAATGACTATAACATCTGACTATGTTGATGGACAGTGACCTCACTGGAGGGGGTGAGGACTTGATAATGTGCGTGAATGTTGAACCACTGTGTTGTGTTGTTTGAAACCATCATAAGATTGTATACCAATGATACTTTAATTTAAAAAATTAAAAAATTAAATATGAATGTAAATCACTTCATGTGGCTTGTGGCTACTGTATTGGATGGCACAAGTGTGTAGCATACAACCTAGAGGTCTTACTCTCTGATGCCCAGATCTCATTGATGATTTTCTATTTCTGCAGAAAGGTAAGGACATCAAAGGGCAACCACCCTTTAGGGGAGTCTGCACCAGGGCAGCCCAGAGGATACGACTAGGATATAATGCATGCCTAAGCAAAGAAGGGTTCTTCTGAGCCAATGCTTGTTTATTTAACCGTAGAGTTATATAAAATAGATTTCCTTTCACCTCATTCACATGCAAAGCCTTCAGTAGTGGATGTATGTCGTCAACCTTCAGAGAGGGGTTAGTAGGCAACTTCCTCAGAGCTGTTTTCGTTATGAAACCCTGGTTGTCACAGTCCTGAAGAAAGACC